TGTGGTCTTCTACTAACAAATCTCAAAACACAGTACTGCTTTTCCATATTTGCAAAAATACTTCACCTTAAAGACTTTTTGTCAAAATAGAACAGGATTTTAAAAGGCATTTAAACATTTGTAACATTTAATGTACTTATGCCATTATGAAAACTGAGGGCAATCGATTTCTACGTTTTCAGTGCATGAGCCTTTATTATATAAGACTGGCTTTTTTGGCTCTATGAATAAACATCTTCATTATATGTTATTGTTGGTTGAACATTATTTGTAACTGATTTCTAAACCCGAAATGTATTTGTACTGACACTGAATATTAAGTAGCTTTTCAAAGCTATAAACCTAAAGTAGACTATAGACACACTTAATTAAACAGACGCCATTTATTATAATTATTTATAATGGTGGGTTGTGATTTAAGTTAACCGTAAAATGTGGAAAAAACAAATAGTAATTTTGATACCATGTCTATACATTATTTTAATAGTTTTCAATCCGTCCTTCAATAATGTGTCCTACTATTTGACCTTGCATTTGCGAATAGATATCCTAAAAAGAACACGAAAAGTCCCATTTAAGTATCGAAATATTTTATTGCGTGATTTGGGATTAAAAAAAAATCATACAACACCAGTAAATTACTGTATGTATATACAGGGCGAATCTGACCACTATTGATTTCAGACAATAGTCATCCCTATTTTATAACTACCTATCATTGTCCCCCATCATTGTTAGTCCCATAATGATGGAATAAAAAATACCACTAAACAATCACCAAGGTATAACTATAGTTTAAAGTTGATGTAATACAAAGCACTTACAAACCTTATTTAAACTTTATCCGCATCCCTTTTAGTTTTAAAGTTATCAACTAAAACACGTTTTCCCAAAAAAAATAATCATTGCAGTGCCTTTGGTACCTCTTTCGACATTGTGACTCAATGTGTTTATTTAACATACGTTTAACATGGGTTTAAACATGGGTTAACACCTAGACAAACTAAAATAATAACTGATAAGTTGTAAATTAAAAAGTTGGTCGGAATTGCCATACCGTTGAAATGATATGCTGTTTGACATATGATGTTATTTGGAATTTTTAAGTTTTTAATACCTAAATATCTTCAATGAATATTACTTTAGATATTTATCTTTTGAGATATTATTGTAATATTGCGTGCACAATTAGTTTAAAAATAAGTATAAAGTTAATAAGAAATGCAAATGTTTAACTATCTTAGAGATATCTGCATTTTCCTGAAAAATATAGGGTGTTAAATATAATTCCAAATGTTTTACATAAATAGTCGCCACTTTAAAAACAATATAAAAAGTAAAATTCTGATGTCGAATAGAACAATTAAGTTCAATATGACCTGTATTTTATTGAAAATTGTGAGATTTGAACTAGTGAATATCTGGTTTGGGTATATGCTTTATTCTTAAACAATTTGAAATATTTTTAAGTTATTACTTAGGGTTGGTTTAGTGGGAAATAATTCATTTTATTATTGTGGGATCAACAATTTGTTTGAAATCAATACTGTAGTGGACATTTTACGACATTCACCCTCTATTTACAGTATAAAATATAACAATGTAAATAAACTGTTACATCAATCTGACCTATACATTCTCCCATTGGCTTGTCAACAACCATTATCGTCGGTAAGCACTTAGAATAGCTATGCTATTTAAAGGGGGAAAACAAAAGTTGCGATAGCTTTTAACACCAATGGGTGTTTGCACTATTTTGTTTGGAATTATGAGAACCATAACGTACTTATTTTAATCAAAACCAATTTTTTTTTTTCAGAAAATCGGATTTTCCCATATTGTATACATGTTTTATGGGTTAGAACTTTAGATTATAATTTTTAATTTCATGAGTAAATGAGTTTTTAATTAAAAATGTTGTAAATATTCGTGAAGTTTTTATTTCCAATTTATATTTATTCCAATATTACCAGTTCTTCTTGAAGATTAATATCTTTATCAATAAAGTATTATCTCGCGATGAACGTTTGTCAAACATCTTGCTAAGTAACACAAACCAATACCCCCTAGGATCAACAAATAGGTCAATGTTGGATGTATTCGTCATGATAATTTAAACCATTCCATATCAATGAGTATTCTTGCGACCTTTGAACTATATTTGGAGACCTTCTCAAAAGCTTATCAGTTACATGGACTTTTAAAAGGCTCGATGACTCATCGTTTATTTCACATATTTTAGGAGGTAATCTATATATGGGTAATAAGAAACCATTATTAGAATTACAGTTTAAGAAGCATCCTAACCAATATAGTTACTATAGTATGACAATAACATAGTTAATCAAAAAACATTATCAGTTTTTTTATATTTTAGAGTTAAAAATGTTATTTATTATTGACATTAATAATGTACGCCTACTATACTATGTGATTCGATAAATATTCCCACCGCAGCAAACCTGCAGATTAAGTAAATTGGCATCTGGCACATTATATTTTCATTTAATACCTCCTTAAAAATTTCTGATTTATTCCCTATTTAAATCCTGTAATATTGTTTTTTTTCTCCTATAATATGTGTCATTGCCCTATAATAATATATTACAGATAACTTCAAATTTGTCTACCTTATGTGCTATCCTTATACATATATAATACTTGAAGGTTATTTCTACGAAACACTACTCCTCCGTTAATAATGGACGTACTTTTACAAACAATGTGTCAAAATTGAGTATTTTTTGTGTAGACGCCCCCTTATACCAATTCCTGTAATAAAAGTCCTGGGACTTTGCCCTACAGGCTATCAAAATCCCAATGTAGTTCTTATGAAGAAGAGATTTTGTTTACTTAAACAGACGAATAATTTGTATTAATTACAGCTGTTCATAGTGAACACATAATACACACAAAAGGGTTTGTATTCAGAGTAAGTTCGTTTTTAGTTTCGGTAACTGGAGTGAAGTTATTGATGACATTATCTTTGAGTTGACTCTTTTAAGTAATCGAAAATTATGACTGTTATTCGTTTTTAAATAACGCCTGTAATACTTTGCAATTGCCCGAATGCGAGAAACAGGTGAACACGTTTTTAAATAATAGTTTATTTTTATTTCGTGTCATTTCATTTAATGTGTTTACTATCAAGTAATATTCCATAACCCCGCAGAAATATCATTCCCCTTTGTTTCACAAATTAATGTAATATTTATGTATTTACGTCAAGTCTGTCCTTACACATCCAATATCTATCAATAATCACAACCAACTTAGAATAATTATGGTATCGTAAGAAAATTGCAATATAATAATATTTTATATAGTATTTCAAAATTAGGCAAATAAAACCCAAATTACTGTGGCAAGTGCTTCATGTGAAATTACCAATGTACTACTTAACAATGGACATATGAACTTCTAGACCTTCAGCCGTTGGTCTTTCCCCAGTTCCTGCCAGATCCTGAATGTATTAACATCATTGTTATACGACATTGTTCCTAAATTTAAATTAAATTTCAAGCTTGGTACATTTTTACACTAGATAACAAAAAATCTAAACTGATTGTTTTAGCTAGCTCAGTGATCTTACCAAATGACCGTAGATAATGTTTCATACGCCATATCTTTATACTGAGTTATTTGACTTATTGATCAACCGATTTTCTTTAATTTGGAATCGTTAGAACTTTAAAAGAATTGTGTTATCAAAACCCAACTTTAATATTCACCATTTCAAAACTACACATAATAAAACAAATAAAATTTTTTCTCAAAACTTGTATTTGCGTTAATAATCTATTCGCCAAATTTCAATTCATCACAAATTAATTATTATTGCAAATAGTATTGTGAAAAGAAAAACAATGGTGTACAGGTAGTGTTTGTTATGTGATATTTTAATTTGTCTTTGGTCCAGGAATCTTCTTCAGCCTCAGACACCCACAAAGGTTGGTAGAGAATTCAGGGACTGCCTGTTTATATATATATATATATATATTTCTTTTTATATGTATAAATCTGTTTATAAATATTTAAATTCGAGTGGATGGTGTTTTTAGGAACCTCAAAATGCAAAAGTCGGTTCAGGGTCCAGGTCTTACCATGGGACTTACGGTAATAGCTAATTCCTACATGGGAAATTCACTGAAATCTTCACAGCTATGCAATTACAAATGAGTGTTGTCATAGAATAAGGCATCATAATGCTAATTTCTAGTTTCGGCAGATTATATAAAATAACATTGGTCAGAGTGAGGTTAAATTTGTTGATGTTTTTTGTAGCTGTATGTATGCAATATTTGGAAATTGTAACCATCAAGGCGAAAGATTGCGTTTTACTGGTGATTTGAGAAAAGTCCCTTTTATGTGTTTACATTCCATATAATGGCAATAAAAAGGTTATACAACTGGATAACTGCAACACTTTAAGGCATTTAATGGTCATTAAAACAAGAATTAAACGTTGAGCCAAAGCGTTTGGTTTATAATCACTATTCAAAAGAAAATTTTACAAGCCAATAAAACAGCTTAAATGCTACGGAGAAAACTATTGCACACAAATAAAAAGTTTCAAAGTATTTAATGTTACTTAAAGAGATATTAAATTTTAAAATAAAATTATGGGAGGCTGAATTGGGAGGACTTGATTGCACACATACATCACAGCATCAATAAGATAAACATATTCATTTTATGACACAGTATTACTTTATTGATTAAATATAAATACACACAGTAGACATGAAAAATTATTATGTAATATGCATAAAGTTATTAGATAATACAGGAGCTAAAAATAAACTACATACAATGGCCAAAAATTAACAAACTAATAGTATAGAAAACAGATACGTGCATTTTCAAAATACTACTACATTTTTTAACAAATTTATATGAATTTTATATTTACATTCAGGAAGTAACGAATTAAGAATTTGATCATGATATTTCAATCTTTAAAAAATATTATATTTTAGTCATCCAGCAAGATAGTGCTTTAAAATTCTTAAGTCATTTTTGTGTAATGTTCCTCAAAAGTATTTTGTAAAGATATAAAAATAAATGTACAGTTCTAAACAGTGTGATTGTCAACATACTTATTAGATATTCTTTAGTCTAGGCAGTATCCCTTAGACTTCCGATGAGCGCAACAAGGGCCTTCATGTAATCTCCAGACGTATCACCCTGTAAAAATACGAAACACGCTTAGTATACAGGGTGTTCATATTTTCTTGACTTGTTCCTTGGGCTAAGACAAACATAAAATTTCGTACAAGTCATGGTCTAAAACGCCTAGATATCTGCTCGTTGGTTATTTTTAAATGCATACACCAAGATAATTTAATATATACTCTTTCTCTCATCTTGTGTAAGTACAGTATTTTCCAGATTGGACGCTGATACACACAATGAAAACCAAACTACACTTCGCTTTCTAAGTTCTGCCTTGGTCATTCAAATCATATTGGCTATCCAGATGTAATAAATGTACCTTCTTCTACTTTCTTTGTCTCCGATGAAATTCTAATGAGTTTTGCTTGTTTAAGGATGCAAATTTTATAAAGTTTGGTGTATTTACTTAATTTTACATGACGTTTAGAAATATATACAAAATAACAGGTTTCACATTCCATGCAGCAACAAACCTTGGTACCTATTGAGTTAATGCTCATTATACCTATTGTATAATGGTTCAAAGTGCTCAATGATCTCAACATCAAAGTGTTGAGTAGGATCGGCAGTTTTTGATGATAAGTTTAGGATCATGATCTAAACATTTCTGTATGAATTGTAACTGGACTGATTTAATTCCACAAAAAATCAAAATATGCATTGTTAACAGTAATACCATAGATAAAACATACTCCCTTAGTTTGGTTAGTCTATGGTAATACTAACCTTGACATCACTCTCCAAAGTTTTCCCGAAGAGTCGCTCATATTCCTGCTTGATATTGCCAAGGTCAATCTCACAGCGACTGACGATGATACGGATCAAGGTGGCGTCGTCAGTTCCCAGTCCAGCCATGGCCTTGTGCAGCTGCTTGGCGTAGTAAACTGGCAAAGGGTTCTGAACACACTCAACTGGAACAAACAAATAGCCATTTCCTATTTGATACGTAAAACATGAGTTGAGTCAGTATATCACCTTGAGGCGTCGTCAGTTCCCAGTCCAGCCATGGCCTTGTGCAGCTGCTTGGCGTAGTAAACTGGCAAAGGGTTCTGAACACACTCAACTGGAACAAACAAATAGCCATTTCCTATTTGTTACGTAAAACATGAGTTGAGTCAGTATATCACCTTGAGGCGTCGTCAGTTCCCAGTCCAGCCATAGCCTTGTGCAGCTGCTTGGCGTAGTAAACTGGCAAAGGGTTCTGAACACACTCAACTGGAACAAACAAATAGCCATTTCCTATTTGTTACGTAAAACATGAGTTGAGTCAGTATATCACCTTGAGGCGTCGTCAGTTCCCAGTCCAGCCATGGCCTTGTGCAGCTGCTTGGCGTAGTAAACTGGCAAAGGGTTCTGAACACACTCAACTGGGACAAACAAATCGTCATTTCCTATTTGTTACGTAAAACATGAGTTGAGTCAGTACATCACCTTGTAGTTAGTCCAGTCAAAAAAGTCAAATGTATAAACAATGACGGAACAAATGAGCAACAAGCAAGAATAAATACCACTCAGTAGTACCATTGGTTTTTGTAAAGGTATTAGCTAAATATATGTGTTTGTGTAGAGTTTATCACTACAAAGTTTATCGGTATTTCTCTCAGCTAACCTTGGTCTGACTTTTGTTTTTAACTGATCTGTCAAGCGTAAAAAATACCTTTAGTGTACAATATCGCACACTAAGTCGTAGGTAACTTAATCCAGGTGGAGCCAGCTTTATAATCGTTTAAGAATGCGCTAGGTGGAACCAACCTTTTTAATCGTTTAAGAATGCGCTAGGTGGAACCAGCTTTATAATCGTTTAGGAATACGCTAGGTGGAACCAGCTTTATAATCGTTTAAGAATGCGCTAGGTGGAACCAGCTTTATAATCGTTTAGGAATACGCTAGGTGGAACCAGCTTATAATAGTTTAAGAATGCGCCGGGTAGAACTAGTTTATGTGGTGTCACGAATTGAGAGATGCATCCAAAATTAATAACGAACTTTCATTTTTGCGAGATAAAAGAATACCTCACTTCAAATTAAGTATTTTGAATTATTATCAAACTTAACATTAAAACCACAACAATAAATTGTGTTTTTACTCAATTTAACATTTGACCAAGCTTCAATTTGGTAGTTTTATTTTACTGGTACACTCATCATTCCACTAAGATAAGAGTCAAGAATACACTTTTAAATTTTCTAGATCTACATAACTTTTCAGACATAATACTTTTCTCACCGACTGTCAACATAGCTTCCAGCAGAGATCCGCTGAGCTCACTTTGCAGTGCCTGCTTGATTGTTCGTCCTGTGATGTTCTTGTACTCTTCAAACACTAATCTCAGCTGTTCGTGGCTTTCGTGTGTTAAAATCTTGTTGAAAACTGCCTCGTCTGTGCCCCACTTTGCTTCTCCTGCAACATTGTAATATGCGGTAGAAGTTAGAAAAAATGGGGAAGATGTTCGTTCCAGATGTAGTTTATAACAAACATAACCGACTAAATCTCTCCACGCAACCAATCTTCGTATTGTTGTCTTTCAGCTTGGGATTAATGGGTGCTCTTGCTGGAATAATTATTTTAATGTATTTTATTGCTCGTATTTCACACCGTTCTCAGAGGTTTTAAGATGATTCGGTAGAAATTTCTAACTACGTCCTTTACCTGCAAGGTGGAGAGCCTCCGCTTGTTCCTTTGCCTTCTTTGGGAAGACATGATCTGGAGGGTTCCGGATGGCCTGAAAATTTCAAAACTAGTTTTAAAAACAGTGTTCACATTATATTTGCTAATGGTGTGATACTACAGTTTTCTTACTATATACGCTGTAGGATGATTAAAGGTCCTTAATAATATTTGCATATAAAATCTCATGATTACTTTTTTTGGATGATTAGCAATAAAAAAAATCATTCATCGTATAATCCAAGATACATGCCCAAACTTACTGTTGTTATTAGGGTCAAGAACCTCCTGAAGTCTCCACGGGTTCTGCTACAAACGTGTTCTGCTAATGGGCGATTAAACACTGAAAACAAAACATAATGTAATGCAGTTTCAATAAAAACATAAGATTTTTAGACAACTATAAAATTTGTTTCTATGATTGAGAGTTCCTAAATAAGAAATGCACCCGCCCCAGCAAACCTAAAGACTATACTAAGCGAATTTCCATTTACATGGCTAGATTTCCACTAAAATATTCCCTTGAAATTGTTAGATTTGTCTCCTATTTAAATAATATTAATCTGATCATGGTTCGTGAGCTCGTTCAAATGAATGTAGTTTATATGTTTGTACAGAACTTCATGAAAATCGGATCCCTTTTACTGGAGTTATCGCGCTAACGGACTCATAATATCTATATAATTAATACGCTACATGAAACTTTGTCGGTTGAACTCCTCCGCCATTTCTTAACCGATTTTATCCATTGACGTCTCATTGGAAAGAGCGTGTCGCGTAGATTTGCAAACTGGCCTTACATTTTTGAAAAAGTCCCTTGGGCTCTGCCCCAGTGGCTTTGAAAGTTCCCATGTTATCCTTATGGAGAACTTAATTGTTTATATTTTGATCAGCTGTATAGTTTAATTGCTGTTGTTTATTTTTCAATTCAATGAAACACATTGAGTACATTTATTTACTATTTGAGTTTGTGTAAACATAACCCCCAAGACGGATCGTGTTAGTATGGTTGTATCTTAAATTTGTGTATTTTATCTTTGTTTTGTGTCGCTATGACGGATCGTGTTAGCATGATTGTAACTAAAATTTGTGCATTCATCGTTGTTTTGTGTAGCTATAATTTGTTTATTTGTTGTTTCTTTTAAATTACTCCGACGTGACGACAACGAAACATAGACAGGAGGCGTAATCGTGATAACGACCGCAGCTACAGAAGAGTGGCGCGTAATACGCTTATCATCACAGTCAGTACCTTACCCTGGACAATCTCAACGAGGCACTTTGAGAAGGAGAAAACCGGCCGGAATGCTTTAGGTTGATCAATAACGAAGATAAACATGGACAACCTTATACGGCTATTAAGTCAGGAAAATGTTTGTAGGAAACATTAAAAAGCAATACCAGGTTATGAAATATGACATGTACATGCAATATTTACAGGAAATGTTGATTACTGTTATATACATCGTGAGTATCTCCATGAGTTACACACCGGTAATCTTTGAGTTGACTCTTTTAAACTCATTGTAAATATGACTGTTATTCGTTTTGTAATAACTCATGTAATAGTACTTTGAAATTGCTCGAATTCGAGCAACATGTACACTAGTATCTAAATAAATATATATGAATTTGAAAGGAGAGTGTTTGGCCTCTGGAGACCCCAAAACTATAAGGTGAAAATGTTCCGGGTCCAAGTCTTACTATGAGACCTACGGTAATAGCTTATTCCCTATATGGGAAATTCACTTATATGTATTTAAATATAAATGTTAATTGTTATAGTTAATGTTCTAATTTCTTACACAAGGGTATTATACACTAATGTGAATAACAATCATGTTACGTTATATAATTACGTAATGTTTATAAAATCTAAAGGCTTACTTTGACCACTGTAGTATAGCTTTATCCCACTTTACACTAATAGTAATTATCAACATAACCTGCAAGAAACAACAAAATAAAATCACTGAAAAATATGCTTGAAATAGTATTAATAATATATCTGAGTGACAATTAACGCTTACACTGCTCATAGGTTGTGCTTATATCCTTGATTTCCCTGCAGGAGCGAGTACATAGTATCTCGATAACTGCCATGTCGTCACAGTAAACACCCGACAAAGCATTTTGGAGTTGATGGCAAAGGTATTCTACTGGAGAAGTCATCAGTCCGATGATAACGTTGCTAAAATTGCCTGAAATCTCACTTTTAAGGTCGCTAACCAGTTCCTAAAAGAAAAGGAAAAGAAACATGTTTAATTTATGTTATGTTCTTGAGTCATATGTAGCACGCTAGTTAATTGTGAACAAATTACTACCTTCATAGTTATACAGGGTTAGGCAAAAGTCTGGAACCCCCCCATTAACTTTAAAACGAATCACGCCAAGGAAACTAAACTGAGCACACCTTTATATGAAATGAAAATGCACTTTTTGGTCAGTATAAAAATTTTTTCCGGGACCCCAAAATGGGGGATTTTGGGGGCAACTCAAAAATTTCAAATGTTAAGCCCCATCGAGTGACACCTCATTTTAAAGGTCTTGATTTAAGAAAACAAACAACGCAAACTAGAGGTCCCTATCTTAACCCAGTCAAAAATGGCGGTCACTTGAAATTTCAAAAAAAGCAATTTGGAAATTTGAATAAAAAGTAATAACCCCCCTTCTAAGTTTTTTCTAATGTTAATTACAAAGATATCCTTTTGGTGGTTGTGCAACCTTCGCAGGTACTTTATTATTGTCATTTCAAAAATTTTGAATTTGCACCGAAAATGGGGGATTTTGGGGGCAACTCAAAAATGTCAAATTTTAAGCCCCATCGAGTGACACCTCATTTTGAAGGTCTTGATTTAAGAAAACAAACAACGCAAACTAGAGGTCTCTATCTTAACCCAGTCAAAAATGGCGGTCACTTGAAAATGCATCGCACTATTTAATAACCTCTTATGAAGATTCTTGATCAATAAACAGTCAATAAACAGTGCGTACTAAAGTTTTATTAAAAAGCAAAACGTTATTAGACGAAATTTATGTTACAATTCTTATTAATCACTATCTTTCAATATGGCGTAGGAAAACATCTTAACATTAATAATTATTATCAAATTTTATTGCTTCTACTCACCTAATTTCCTTATAAAAGATGCTCGAATTGCTCCCCTTGTACTGTCTGGACATGTCCTAGCCTGTTGTAAAAATGTGAAACAGCATGTTGAATGGATTCTCGTGGAACATTGTGAATTTCCTCAACTATCCTGTTCCTCAGATCATTGATGCACTGTGGTTTTGTTTTATACACATTATCTTTAATGTGGCCCCAAGCAAAGTAATCAAGTGGTGACAAATCAGGTGACCTTGCAGGCCACTCGACAGCCCCTCGTCTCCCTATCCAGCGATTTGGAAACATGTTGTTCAAATACGTGCGGACATCCCGGCCATAGTGTGGAGGTGCTCCATCTTGCTGGAACCAAATCTGATCACTGTTATTAGTTGCTAACTGGACAGCGGGAATAATCTGCTGTTGGAGCATTGTCAGGTACACTGCACAGTTAAGATTACCTTCAATGAAGAACGGTCCGATAAATCTATCTCCTACAATACCAAGCCAAACATTTAATTTTTCCGGATGTTGTGTATGTTGTTCTCTCATCCAGCGAGGGTTTTCATCAGACCAGTAGCGACAATTATGCCTGTTGACATTTCCGTTTACCATAAAAGTTGCTTCATCTGAGAAAACAATGTTATTTAATTGAATAGTATTGTTATCAATACGTGACATCATTAACTCGCAAAATTCTACTCGACGATCGAAGTCATCCTCAGATAGTTCCTGAACTAAATGAAGTTTGTATGCTTTAAAACCGCTGTCGTGTAAAACTCTACGCACTGATCTTTGGGAGATCTCTACACTTAGGCCAACAACATTTGTTGAGACATGGGGATTTTCTACAACAGATTGCAAAACATCCAATGACTTTTCTTCGTTTGTAGCAGTTTTCGGTCTTCCTGATCTGGGACGGTCCTTGACACTGCCTGTCTCTTCAAAACGTTGAACAGTTTTTATTACTACTGATTTTGAAATAGGGTTACGATTAGGAAAAGAATCATTAAATAAGTTTTTTACCTGTACATAACTTCTGATTCTGTCACCATATCCTCGCATAATTAGTATAGTGATCCGCTCTTGTTCACTCAGCTCCATTTTACAGTAAAATTATGAAACATACCATATTGGCTAGTGGTTAGTCTCACCCAAATGCCAGTCTGATAGTTACTGATAAGGTTGTGGTCCTAGAATGTCAAAGCCGGTGAAAGTTGCCCTCAAGAGTTATTGTTTTCCAATGTGGGTTTTTCGAGTAATGCGGCTGGTTTTCCTCAATGTACAATAATTGTAAGTGAACTAATAAAATTACTCTGGAAGTAGATGACAAAGTTTGGTTTGCACAATTTGTTTAAAATCTTCAAAATGAGGTGACACTCGATGGGGCTTAAAATTAGACATTTTTGAGTTGCCCCCAAAATCCCCCATTTTCGGTGCAAATTCAAAATTTTTGAAATGACAATAATAAAGTACCTGTGAAGGTTGCACAACCACCAAAAGGATATCTTTGTAATTAACATTAGAAAAAACTTAGAAGGGGGGTTATTACTTTTTATTCAAATTTCCAAATTGCTTTTTTTGAAATTTCAAGTGACCGCCATTTTTGACTGGGTTAAGATAGGGACCTCTAGTTTGCGTTGTTTGTTTTCTTAAATCAAGACCTTCAAAATGAGGTGTCACTCGATGGGGCTTAACATTTGAAATTTTTGAGTTGCCCCCAAAATCCCCCATTTTGGGGTCCTGGAAAAAATTTTTATACTGACCAAAAAGTGCATTTTCATTTCATATAAAGGTGTGCTCAGTTTAGTTTCCTTGGCGTGATTCGTTTTAAAGTTAATGGGGGGGTTCCAGACTTTTGCCTAACCCTGTATACTGTTAAAGAATACGTTTCTATATTATTTTCTGTAACCTGAATTTTCTGGACAGGTGATTACATACTACGATGAGGGACCATACCCTTTCAATCTCCGTAGCGTATGTTCTGGAGATCTCCTGTCTCTGGTTGTAGGATCTCTTGGTCAGAATGTCTATGATGGTTTGTTCATCAGTTCCGAACCCCTTCATCGCCTGACGCAGCGCCACGGCGTCCTCGACAGCGTTGAAGGCACTGAACGGCACCACAGTTGGCTCTTGCTGAAAATTATCATCAAATGACAATTAAATGTTGTGTTATAACTTATTAGTTATTAGCAGAATATTCATCCTTCGTACGGGGTTGGCGTAGTGATATAAAATGCTTATTGCAGTTATACTTGTGCTTTGCGTTTGCATTGGGGAGGACAAGGTTTGAGATCATTTGGATCTTTACAGTATGCATTGTATGTGCATTGTGTGTGCATTACAGTATGCATTGTCTGTACACAGAATTCCCGTGTATAGTCAATGGCTATAGTATAACACATCTACCATAGCCATAAATACCACTGCACCTAAAAAAAGTAAATAATCGAATATTCGCACAATATCAAAAGATTATTTGTGAATTAAATAATACCCCCGCCGCAGCAAACCTGCAGACTAAGCGAATTTCCATCAACCTGATTGGATTTACACTAAAATGCCTCCATAAAAATAGCACATTTATTTCCTATTTAAATAGAATTAGTTTAACGAGTACTTAGGTTTGCTGCAACAGGGAGGGTAAAAAAGATTTTTTTTTATGATAATAGTTTAGTAAGAAATAAAAGTATTTTTCAAAATCGATCAAAATATGTTTATAAACAAGCAAACTACAACAGTTGACTTATTCTCCATAAGAATAACATGGGAATTTTAAAATTACAATTTTTTAGAATTTTCTCCGTAACAATCAGGCGCATAATAACGCTTCAATATACTCAATTATTTGTTTTTTTAAGCTCTACAAAATGGTTTAAAAAGAAATTGTGAAATTTTGTGTTTTTAGGGTCAAAAATGGGGAAAACCTATTTTTACCCCATAAAACCCCCCATAAACCCCCGTTCCCATAGTCCGATCATGCTGGTTCGCGAACTCATTCAAGTTTATCCCGCCTTACACCTTCAAACCAAATTTTATCAAAATCGGACAAAAATTACTCAAGTTATCGTGCGGATGGACACATATATATATATAAAAATTTGAACGAATGGTGTTTTTGGCCTCTGGGGACATCAAAATGAAAAAGTAAATCGGTCCCGGGCTTAGGTCTTACCATGAGACCTACGGTAATAGCTACTTCCCTATAGGGAAATTCGCTAAAACATAAACTTAACTGTAAACAATCCTACTTCGACAGTTCTCATTGTATATCACAGATTTTGTTGCTGCTTGGTTCAAATTAACTGTTGTCAAAATGCAAAAAAGTAATAGTGCTGCACCTTGTTGGTAAACTTTAACTTTTTAACGATATCTATATACAGGGTGATTGGTACTCAGTGTGACAAAAATTTGTTGGTGTAAGTACAAAGTAAATGCAGTATGATGATGCATATTAAATGTCCCAAGTCTAAAAATTAGCTTCCCAAAGAATTATTTTATGTTTTTCAAAAATAACTATGTTTTTAAACATAATACAGCTATTTCTCAATTACCTGTAAATGGATTTGAGTAGATAATGTCATTTTCGTGTTCTACATTAAATTTTGAATAAGAATAATACAAAATGACAGAGTATCAGTTGTAAAAACTCCATTGTAAATAGATTCAAAGATAATAATTAAGATGTTCGATACAAATTTAAAAAAACATTGGTCAATTGCATTTGTTCACACCCTGTATACAAGAAAGTGTCGGAATATGTTAAAAACTGCGCCATTTTATAAGCTTTCCAACCATATGCTACACCATTGAGCTTTATGTCTGCTTATGTACGCTTTCGTGGTTTGAAAACTACAAAGCATGGTGTCTTTAACATTTAAAACATAGAATGTCGGCATGTATTAAGCAAAAGTTGTATTTTTGTTTCAGTTTGAACAGTAAAACAGTAAAAAAGTTCCCTGTTTTCTGGCATTCAAACCACTAAAGCAAACAAAAAAATATCTAAACCTCAATAGTGTAGCATATGGTTGGAAAGCTTATAAAATGGCGCAGTTTTTAACATATTCCGACACTTTCTTCTATACAGGGTGTGAAAAATGCAATAGACCATAGTTTTTTAAATTGTTATCAATCATAAAAGATTTAATACGCGTACTTTAATATACGATCTAGCATCTTATTTGCTTAGCTGTGTACATTCGTCATATCGAATTTAATGTATCGACATACACACTCTACAAACATTTCGTGTGAGTTATTTTTAGATTTTACAAATAGACTGAAACTAAATCATTGAATTTTAGAAGTACTACCCCTTGCTAAAATAATTTTAACTACAGTTTCGACTAAAAATAATTTTACTACAGATGTAAGCAGAATCAGAATTCCTAATTTACTCATTGTACTTTGTCTCAATCAGAACGTGTAAAAAGCCATTAAGGTGGGGTTCATTCTCAATAAAAATAGAGAACTACATATCATAATTAACATAATTGAATGTGTTTACCGTGTAAGCAAGATGAGATGAGTTCGGTTAAAGTAAAGTGACACTTATAGAGATTCCATTTTACTTTAAAATCTTTCAAAACTATTATTTACAGAATAGCCACTTACCAAGAGTGTTATGCATATTTCATTTTTTCATGCATAACTTATGACGTTGAGTATATAGGTAATCAAAATATTACAAGGGGGCCCGTGCGAAAATTACGCAGTTTTAAAGGTTCGAAAACTTATTTCTGAGGAAGAATAAATCCAGTTCGATTCCCATTTATTTTCTCAAGATTATGTTTATGTTAGAACAGTTATTAGGTTAAAAGAACTGCTAACTTTCAATGCATTTTTTATTATAGTATCAAACTAAAAAGTGATTTGCCTATTTAAAGCCTATTAAAACACATTATTATAAACTGTTTAATCTCTTGTATAAAATTTAACCGTGGTTAATAAAATTATAGGTTTATATTTATAGTAACGGGGCTTCATTCCCTGAGTTCCCAAGTTCAAATCCCGCCGAATCCCCAATGATCCAAACGAAGGAACAACGGTTAAATTACAATTCACATTGATACTTTTATAAATAAAGTTGGTCAGCATAACTGATTGTTTGAAAAATAGCTTTAGAAATAAATGAAACTTGAGGGGGATGAAACCCTAAAGGAAATTATGTTTTTAATTACCATTTTCAGGTGAGTTAAATAATAAGCTTTAAAACTACACCTAAATCGTAAAAATGGGTTACAGGAAACCCAATCATTATAGTATATAGATTCTAACAAGTATAGGAAAAATTAAAACTTAATCACTAGTACTTACCTTGTAATGAGTCATGACTGGAAATATAATGGTAAATCTGCAACAAAAGAATGAGCATAAGTAATATAAGATGTAAATAAATTTTTGGTGGATCAAAAGGGGTAATATACGGGGTATTTGGTAGTGTCAACGATTTTAAGGCAAAATGCCGTAAAAATACTCAAACCGGAAAATTATACCTCACTCCTCCTTTGGGAAATAGCATTTTTTATGTCTTAACATTTACTTTTAAAATATAATTATTAAACTTGTAACATAATAATCATTTCAAGGGGCTTTCTTAGAATCTACGATAAATGTCCAATCAACAAATTATAGTTCGTTACAAGCAGATAGGTATGTTTATAACCTCGTAAATTTGACATGAATAAACATTTTGAAAATCCATAAAAATCCACAATTCGCTTTAGATTTTTTAAGTCTTGTTGAAAATAGTTGACTAGTACCATTGACTATTGGATACAGTTGGTGTATTAACGTCAAAGCTAGTACAAAAAAAACTCCTCCGAATTTTAAGCTTTGAAATTGCATATATACAACATGTAACAATTTATGTACTCCAAAGGGGGGGGGGCATAATGCGTTTAACATAATTCTAATCAATGTTTCATTAACTGCAATTAATTACAAGAACGTGGAAAGCGAGCTGGTCAAGTGGTAGAGCGCGAGGCTTCGTTCCCTGAGGTCCCAGGTTCAAATCCCACCAAATCACCAACGTAATTAATCTGAGTGATAATGCCTCAACCCCTAAATCTAGCCTGAAGTAATGTGTATAACCATCTCAGGCTCAATGTCCTGAAAAATACAAGAATGCATCTAGTGAAAGAAGAGTGCTAAAGGTAATTAAGTGTATTATGTAATAATGTTTCTCTAGTCAATTTAAATAACCTATACAATACAGCTTAGGACTGTTCTCGTAAAGAATTGATCCCCTGGTAAAAGTAGATGATCTTATAAACTAATATCACTTTAATGTTTTAAGTGTGGTGAAGTTTTTAGCGAATTTCCCATTTAGGGAATAAGCTATTACCGTAGTACTCATGGTAAGACCTGGACCCAGAACCGATTTATTTTTTCGTTTTCTAGAGACCAAAAACACCATCCGTTCAAATTCATATATATATAATGTCACATATATACATAATACAATAATGTCCGAAACATGTCACTTCTTTTTATAAAATATAATATTCAGGGTGCTCAGTTGTACATATTTACTTAAATATTTAATATATATATATATATATTTATATATATGTCCGTTAGCATGATAACTCGAACAAAAATGATCCGATTTTGATGAAATTTGGTACAAACGTGTAAACCTACATTTATTCGAACGAGTTCGCGAACCAGGATGATAGGACTATGGGAACAAGGGTTTACGGGGTGTTTTATGGGGTAAAAATAGGGTTTTCCCATTATTGACCCTAAAAACACAAAATTTTACAATTTATTTCCAAACCATTTTGTAGAGCTTAAAAAAACAAATAACTTAGTATACTGAAGCGTTATTGTGCGCCTAATGGTTACGGAGAAAATTCCAAAAGATTTAAATTTAAAATCCCCATGTTATTCTTATGGAGAATAAGTTAACTGTTGTAGTTTACTTGTTTATGAACATATTTTGATCGAATTTGGAAAATACATTAATTTCTTACTAAACTATTAACATACAAAAAACCACCTTTTTACCCTCCCTGTTGCAGCAAAGTATTCGTTAAACTAATTATATTTACATACATGATACATGATCTCTCCGTCCGTAGTCCTATGCCTTTAGGAATTGGACAGCTAAGGGTTAATACAAAGAATAACCAAACTTAATACTAATTTTTGTCAACGTCAAGGTAACTGTCTATGTCCTGTAAACTTAACTCCACTAGATATTTTTTAAATTCTGATTTGAATGTTGTTAAGCTCTGAATTTCAAGTAATTTTTTCGGTAGGGCCTGGTACAATTTCATTCCCATGTAATCTGGTTTGTGTTCAAATTTTGTGAGTTTATATAAAGTTTAGATATAAAGTGAAGGGTCTGTGAGAAAGCCAAGTTCTGTAAAAACATTATTGCAGCTGGTCCGAGGCGGCATGCCCAAGATTGCTCTTACTGCCATGTTCTGCCAAACAAAGATCTGCTCAATAGTCTTCTTCACAGCTCCCCATAGGATGATTGCATACAAAATGTGTTGTTCTATTAGGCCAAAATACACAAGTTTAGAGAGAGCCAGGTTTCCTAAGGTCCTTATTCTTCGAAGTACAAAGAACCCTCGAGCCATTGACCCCTCCAGTTTTTTATTTGTGCATCCCAGCTCAAATAGGGAAATTTAAATAGGAAAAATAGGATTTAATAGGAAAAATTTAAATAGGGAATAAATATGATATTTTTAAGGAGGCATTTTAATGTAAAATCCTATCAGGCTAATGGAAATTCGCTTAGCCTGCTGGTTTGCTGCGGCGGGGGTATTTATACTGTTTTATAGTTTTTATCAGGACGTATAAAACAATTTTTAAGCATGTTGTGGTGCCCTTTTTATTCTACAATGTTTTTAATTCAAGTCAAATTTATAAGCCTTCTTATGGACTTGACTATAATGATCTGGATCTTGTCTGATAGAACGTTTGATGCAGATTGGATAACAGTCACTAAAAATATTTTTAAGTTGGCTAAAAGTAGAAAAATTAGATTTTAATAGGAATTGCCAAGACATTTTTAAATTGAAAATTGCTGTTCCCAGAAGGAGAAGTGAGATATAAATATCTAAATTGCGTATTTTTATTGCAATTTGCGTGTATAATAATGCCTTAACATTTTTAACACTGACCACCAGACACTGACTAACTTGTTCAGTATAATAGCTATAACAGTATAATAGATGACTACCTAAATATACTCCCAAGTCTGAGGCATTGAAGATGTTTGAACCCATACAAAGTTAACCCTCCCCTATATCTTTTGTTATAACTTTGGATTTAAAGAATAAGAATGCACGGTAATAAATAAACTGATGTGCTACACCTTTCTTCTAATTTGCTTTGACTTAATTCGTAACTAGTAACATTTAGTAACATCATAAAATATGTAATACCAACTATTATTATATTTCTTTAAACAACTTGTAACATTAATATTTTATGGACCGTTTGAAACCAGCTATTAGTTAAACCAAATTAAATTGAAACAATCTTAAAGATTGTATATTACATTACTAGTCCAGAAATAGGGATTTACTACCTAAATATGTCGAAAATAGGCGGATAACGAGTAAAGTAAACACAATTTGGTCGAGTGACGTACGATATTTTTCGCGATACCACACTAAACTAACTCAACTATAAAAAAAGACTTTAAAAACCGGTATACATTCCCAGATTACTAAAGGACTTGATAATCACTATGGCGAAATTTGTTTATCCTAATTTGTTTGTCTTAATTAAGTCAAGACATAACATAAGGATTTACTCAATTACATTCTCTTCAGAAACGCAAAAAATCTGATTAAATAGTTAAACATAATCGTATGTTTGGCAACAATAATATAGAGCTTACAATGTAATAAAGTGAGTCTAATGACAAAAATCCATTACCTCAATACGGTTAGTGATACAGTCCTAATGCAGAATTTCAACCCATTTGACTCTTTTTTTCTTCCCTAACACGTCTTTACAGTATTTTAATTTAAATTTACTTGAGTTTACGACACATTCATAGAATGGAACTATGATTACCAGTACTCACCGTCAAGAAGGATTCACTCTCTTAATCGCCAAACAACTCCTCCAGATCTGAACTACAGCGTGACTGGTCACTCTGCTCCTTCTAGGCATCTTTTATTTCAAATGTTGGAATCCAAGCAGGATGGCCAACCTAGAGCTGAACGATGACTCATCAAATTTTCTAGCACTACAATCTGAGATATTCCCTCATACCAAAAAGTGTTAAATTTATTGTGCTATTAAAATAAGAGTTGCGTTTTTTAATGTGTATACTACAAGTACAGTAATGTGTGTACTATAAGTCTTTTAACGAAAACTTTTATAATATATACAAAATTTTAAACATCAAGAAATTATAGCCATTCATTATAAAATATCTTTTTACCTAATAACACAATTTTATGGCAGCTCTGTTTTAGGCCTACATGTTTTAATTCAATTAAATTACTTTAAAATGATTATGTTTTTGTTCACGAGTTGTAACACAATTTTATTGACAAATTTGTTAAGATTGGATTACAACAACCAAAATATATTATTTCTTGCTGAAATCCCTTCCTCGAACTCAGGTTTAAGCCACATCTAAAGATAGTAAATCTTTTAGATTTTCTTCTATAAACAATCAAACAAAATTCCGGGAGTAAACTTATTGTGCTACCATTTAGTAACTCATTAGCTACTCGTATTAAATTTAGATAACACTTTAGATTTAGAACCTATATAATTCTGTACATTTTTAGGCGCTTAAAATTGTCTTCATATTTCAAATCTGGAGGTAACGGTTCTTACAAAAATCTAAATTTCCTTATTACGGTTACTTAAATAGAAATATTCTTTATGTGCCAGTAATGTATTAAGAAGACAATTCATAAATATAAAAAATAAAATTTTTTTTACAATGACCTGACAAAATGGTTACCTGATTATAACACGCAAAGTAGCTAATTACTGCATTTACTTACTTTTAACACACTCCAGTAATCCAACCAAAACAACACAAAACACGGTGCAATTATTATTCACGTAATACGTGTACGCTTGAAAATAAGTTGGCAACACTTAAAGATACTACTACGACTACGATCAGCTGTTGTTTCCAATTTCGTCCAACGCTTGGATTTAACCTAACCTAAATCGTGTTGTTTAGTGTTTGGAAGACTGTTGTAGGAAAAATATCATGTGTAACACGAGCGCAAAGTGCCTTTGCTGCAGCAAATACTACTACACTCTGCACTACTGCACTCTGACTACTGCACTCGAGAGACTTACCACACTAAGTTACGCCTGCGGCTCGTGCGTAA